ACTGACCCCTGTGGGACCCCGCTGGTCACAGGTGCCCACTCTGACACCTCGCCACGTACCATGACTCGCTGCTGTCTTCCTGACAAGTATTCCCTGATCCATTGCAGTGCCTTTCCTGTTATGTGTGCCTGATCCTCTAGCTTTTGCAGTAACCTCTTGTGAGGAACTGTGTCGAAGGCCTTCTTGCAGTCCAAAAAAATGCAGTCGATCCACCCCTCTCTCTCTTGTCTTACTTCTGTCACCTTGTCATAAAATTCCAGTAGGTTTGTGACACAGGATTTCCCTTCTCTGAAACCGTGCTGGTTGTCAATTATACACTTGTTTCTTTCCAGGTGCTCCACCACTCTCCTCCTGATGATATTCTCCATGACTTTGCATCTAAGTTAAGGAAAGACTATGAGAAGACTGGCTGACCAGGGATCACCCAGAGCATAAGAAGCATATGTAATGGTAGTAGTAATAGTAGTAGTAGCAGTACTAGTAGCAGAAAGAATGTGTTAGAAGTAGAGGGAGTGTTAGAAGTAGTGGGAGTGTTAGAAGTAGTATACACGTTAGTGATACAAGTCTGTAGTTTAGTGCCTCATGTCTGTCTCCCTTTTTAAAAATTGGGACTACATTTGCCATCTTCCATACCTCAGGGAGTTGCCCAGATTCAATGGATGTGTTGAAAATCTTTGTTAATGGCACACACAGCATCTCTGCTCCCTCTCTAAGGACCCACGGAGAGATGTCTGGTCCCACCACCTTTGAGGTGTCAAGTTCACATAGCAGCTTCTTCACCTCCTCCTTGGTTATGTGTACCTCATCCAGCACTTGCTGGTGTACCCCCCTGTTCTGATTTCCTGGAGTCCTACTGGTTTCCACTGTAAATACTTCTTTAAATCTCGTGTTGAGCTCCTCACATACCTTTCGGTCGTTTCTTGTGAGCTCCCCATTACCCTTCCTCAGTCTGATTACCTGGTCCTTGACTGTTTTCCTCCTGATGTGGCTATACAACAGCTTCGGGTCAGACTTGACTTTCGATGCTATGTCATTTTCATATTGTCGCTGAGCCTCCCTTCTTATCTGTGCATATTCGTGCGTGTGTGTGTGTGTGTGTGTGTGTGTGTGTGTGTGTGTGTGTGTGTGTGTGTGTGTGTGTGTGTGTGTGTGTGTGTGTGTGTAAGCGAGCAAATATCCCTGTTATCACTCTAAATCCAAGGCACATTTATCAAGTTAAACACTCAACACAATTACCCAACAAAACAATAGACAGTAAATAAAAGAGAGCAAGTGAGTGGAGCAAGTGAACCAGTTAGTGAGGCAGAGAGCGAGGCAGTGAGTGGAAGTGACGGGAGTGACAGTGATCATATTAGACAGGTAGTGCAGTATAGTAAGTGCAGTGCGACAGTGTGGTTCGTATTTTCGGGGCTTTCATCCTCTGGACGCTTTGGATACATTCGCAACACTCTGCTTACTGTACTCATAAGAACAAAAGAAAGGAGGAACACTGAAGCAGGCCTATTGGCCCATACTAAACAAGTCCATCTCAAGCCTATTATGACCATAAACCACAAATACCAGCTCTATCGTTGGGATAAAAAAAAGAAAAAGGAAGGGAAAGTCGAACTGTTAACTCTCTATTTGGTTCGTTTTAAACAACTCGTCTTCTATCTTGATAAAAATATTCTTTTTTTTTTTTAACTTTTTTTTTTTAATTCATTGCAAGGTAAGCACGGAAGGCGGTAAAATTAACCCATTACATTAACGAAGTAATTTTTTTCGGCATCAGAACCTAGATAATCACACGGTTAATTATACGCTGAGACACCAAAACAATCCTCAATTAATGAGTCTACTCATTCAGCGTTCGAACTTTTCTTCTCGATGCTTTATTGGCTCAATTTGTCAGTACAAGGATGCTCAGATCGCTTGTTTTTATATTTTCCCTACACAGAATTTTTCCTGGTGAAAGTCAGGGAGAGGGGAGAGATTTTGTAGATATAAGAGACTGTGGGAGAATGATGAAACAATACCAAAACTTTTGTCGATACCGATTCTTAATTTTAGGCCGATACTGATACCATCAAAATTAGTCGATACCCATCCATACTAGGCCGATACTGATACCATCAAAATTAGTCGATACCCATCCATACCAATACTCTGGCACACCCCTACTGTGGGACTCAGTAAGAGAAGAGGGTGAGAAGGGTGGGCAGGGAGCCTAAAAACCCTCTTTAAGAAAATAATCTTTATATAAAAAGTCTACGGGGTGACAACTCAAAAATGGCGTCAAATTTGGTGATTAACACCGACAAGTATGTGAAAAAATACGTGAAAAGACAGAAGAAGCCCCTGGTGGGCGAAACGTTTCCTCAATAAATGTTTTGATAATTACATACGTGTCATTTTTATTTACAACCCAAACACAAGCCCTTCTAGCACATTACCTTACTGGCAAAGTGAAGAGACCGGCGGTGAGGGAATAGGCAGTGTGTGAGGCAGACAGTGAGTGAGGCAGACAGTGAGTGAGGCAGACAGTGAGTGAGGCAGACAGTGAGTGAGGCAGACAGTGAGTGAGGCAGACAGTGAGTGAGGCAGACAGTGAGTGGGACAGACAGTAAGAGAGAGGCAGTATGTAAATTAGACAGGCAGCAAGAGGCACTACAGTACACAGAAGGCAATATGAATGCTCTTAGAAGCAAGCATTGAGTAATGCATGTCTCCAGACCCTCCTAGTCAATGCTCCAGCCAATTACATTTATCTCCTTACTAGGGCAAGAGAAATAGGAGGAAGCGAGGGAGCAATGAAGGAAGAAGAGAAGGAAGACCGGAGGAGATGAGAAAGGGAGGAAAAATGTTAGTTAAAGGACGGGTTGAGGAAGTAGTGAAGACGAGCACAGTTGAAGGAAATAGAGAGGAGACTGATATGGCGAAGATAGAATGACATAAAGTTGGATTTAGAGAAGGGAGAGGAAGAAAGTAAGAAAGGAAGCTGGGACCGAGATTGGAAGAAAGTAAGAAGCCAAGAAGATGAAGGAAAAGGAAAAATCAATATTTTTGGAGGAAAAGGGAGTTTTAGATAAAAGAAGAGGCAAGAGGAGTGTTGTGAAGTGCAAGTAAGAGCAGGTTCTGGGAGGTGAGCATCACAACAAGTCTTGGTGTCTCCTTATATGTCCTCACCATACTCCCTCCCTCCCTGTACACACTATAGTGCTCAGCCTCCCTCCCTCCCTTTCTTCCTCCCCCTCTATGCACGCACCCTCATTCTGTGCACAATCCTTCCCTCCATTCCTTCCTCCAGGTACACACTATGGGACTCAACTTCCCTTCCCTTGGTTGATAGGTTTTCTACCACATAAAAGAACAAAGTATCAGCACCAAGTAGTGCCCTAAGATGTAACAGAGGAGAGAGTCGTCTGGAAGGCGCCGTTGGCTGCAGACTTGTCTGGAGCGCGCGTGGACAAGAAGCCAGACACCCTCAACTAAGTGCATTCCATTTTCTTGCTCATGGTCACGTGGCGCATCATACTGAACATAACCTAAATGCTTATTACGTGCAACCTTAGAACTCCTTACGAACGTCATTTCTGTAGACATCAAGAAATTTTCCAACGAGATCCCACCAGAGGGAGCGACTTAATTTGACTCAAGGAACTGGCGCTACCCTTTCCTTCTGGGATCAAACCTGATTGCCCCATCCTACTCATTTCCAAACAACTTTATGACCACTGCGGATTTAACTCCTCCACTTGAATATAATAATAATAATAATTCCAAATGAGATGTAGATAACAAGTGACAGAAAGACATTTCCGTGTGGTTTATGGACATCTGATGACATTAGAAAAGTTACTCCTGATAATATGGATATTCCAGACATTTTGTAATGTTAATGTTAGGATATTTACCAAGGGCTGGGCCGCGGGAGCGTTGACCCCCGGAACGACCTCCAGATAGATATTATATAAAAACTAAGCGTGATCAGTGCGCGCGCTTAACATTTAATCTCAGTCACTGGGGATGTATGAAGCAAGGAGGAAGAAGGTAACTGGCAGCAGTGCGTCTTCGAAGATACTAAACCAATATGAATAGGGAGTTGTTACTATTGTTATTTGCAGATGACAGTGCAATTTCTAGATTGGTTTAAAAAAAACACGCGAACAAATATTAGGAAAACGTTTTGGTTCTGGGACTTTAATCAAGGTCCCAGAACCGGAACATTTTCTAATAAATATCCTAGTGTTGGTTCACATGTCTTTTTCAACCACTTGTCAGTATCAAATACCAAGGTTTATACCAATTTCTAGACCCAAAACTGAAGTGCAAAAACCGGTGAAGGAATTTGAAAAGATGTGCAAAGGAGTGTCTGCAGAAATCATAAACGGTCTTTATCAGCGATTAGGCAATGGATAGCCTGCCTGTGCTTACTGGGGCTAGGTTTTCCATCCCATTAAAAAATAACAACTCACATTTTCATGTCCTGGCATTTCTCAGTTCGATATATCCGTGGCCAGTTCCCAGAACCAACTGCAGCATTGTCTGCGATGACAGAGAACCCTCGGAGCCAGCCACAAGTAAACTGACAGAACAACCTAAAAATTAAGTGATTATATTTGGAAGTTGCACATCCCTCACGGCATAAATCAGAACACAAATATTTAGTGGAATTTTTTTTCATGACAGCTCATTCCACCGTTTTCATAGTTTCCCCTCGGAAGATAAGAATAGTTTAATATTCTTAATGTATGCAAGGAATTTTTCTAAAGTCGAGAGGTTTTTCTAAAGTAGGCAGGAAGTTTTGATAAAGTAGACAGGAAGTTTTTCTAGCGTTGGTAGGAAATATTTCTACGGTAAACAGAAAGTTTTTCTACAGTTGGCTGGAAACACGGAATTAAATATGTACCGATGTTCTCGAGTCGAAGTAAAAAAAAAAAAAAACACAAATATAATCTATACGAGGATCGGTTAGATGTTGCATTAATTAAAGAACAAGGATGGCAGTAAAGGGTACTCACCCTTTCAGTTTCTTCTTGAATGCCTCTACCTGGAGGCAGCTAGCTAGCTTTGGTTTTTTCTTCCCGTTTCGTTTCCGTACGGCTTCTGTGCCAGTGCCCAGTAGGAGGAACACCAACAGAAGCAGCAACAGCAGGCTGACCCCAAGCACACGGTGTGGGGGGCCCCAGCTTCTCGTCGAAGCCATCACCAACAACTTGTCATGAAACTTCTGAAAGGTGTTGGAAATCTGGGTGTTACCTATGTCCCAAAAATCCCCCCCCCCCAAAAAAAAAAAAGTACCACAAATGAGTATATACACCACGAGGTGTATAAAGTGTATATCTGTGTATTTACACTAAGAGTATACTGTAATCCTTACTGTAAGCATTAAGGTAATCTTAGCTGATGAACTCAGGTGACAGGCAGCCTAATGATGTTCTTTAGTTGGTAAGCTTTAAAACAATATACCGGAGAATGAGCTACGAACAAGAACAGAGAAAGTGGCATAATACCAGCGGTCGGGAAAAGAATGAAACATTTCCAGATCACAAGAGGCACTGTTTCATGAAGATGACAAATTAAGATTTACAAGGGGCCATAATAGAGTCGCACAATTTCATTTCGATAGGTAATCCTATGTTCAATGCCTATGACATTTAAGTTTTCAGAAAGACTGTAAAAAAAATATACTACTGTCTGCAAAATTATTGTAGACATTATGAACACGGCTTATTTTATCTTGGGACACAGGCACATCAAGAGGTGTATCTAAGGGTATACTTCCTGACAGTTTACTTAAATCCCTATTTTAGGGATTAAAGCATTCTTGCCTCGGTGAAAAAGTTATGTGGTGTAAAAAGTATTTTTTTTTTACCCTAATCCCAAAGAAAACATTGAGAAATTATCCTCAGAATGGCAGACTACACCTGTATACAATAGTCTACCACTCGATATAGTTTTTAAAAACGCATTTCACCAAAAACCAGCATTTAGGCAAGGAGCCTTATGATGATATTTTGATCCTCCCTGAACCACTGTCAAGTCATAATGGTCTAGACAACAGGTTTATCCGGGGCCACAGGCATAATTACGGGAATGATTACAAATAATAAAGTAAATCAGGTAACGATAGTTGCAGATATATAATAAACGCCTTTATAGCGGTCAAAGGTAACCCGCTTGTTATATATTTAGAAGAGCTAAGCCTGTAGGGGTTATACAGCGCCTGTGGAATAAGGGGTAATGAGGCTTGATCCTAGGAAGGAAAGGGCACGCCAAATTACTTGGATCAAGAGCTCCTCACCAGCAGGGGAAACGGACTTCTATAACAGTTCAATAGTTCTTGTAAAGACAAACTGTCCACTGACTGGAAGAAAGATACCGAGTACTGTATATGAAATGGATTCTCTTACGTTCTATTTTGTTCTTGTTCTTATTATTATTACAATCATTAGGAAGCGGTAACCTCGTAGGGGTCATACAGCGCCTTGGAATGGGAGGTAATCAAGTCTGATCCAAGGGGAGGGTGGATCTGATTACTTGAATCAAAATCCCTTCACCAGCATCAAGGTAACCGCTCCCCTCCTTGAGAGGAAGTCTTCCTTATGCAAGATGATGAGGAGTAGGTTAAGTCTCGCTGGGTTACTGAGTCCCAACTATTGACCACATGTATATCGTTGAGACAAGGAAGATTGTGTTTGCTACCTGTCTGGTTCATAGCCACGTTATCTCTTATATTACTTGATCTAAATGTAACAACTCATTTAAACTAATTTCAACTTTTTTTTGCCAGTTATAAAACATACTTTTTGCAAATGTTTACATTATTTTAATTATAGTATGTGGCTTCTTACAAGTCCACTCTTCAATAACTACGAGCATCAGTCACTTACCTCTTGTAGTTATATAATTTTAAAAGGATGGTTCGTTATAATAAAATCGTAGGGGGTCGTAGAGCGCCTGGGGTAGTAATGAGAGGTAATTATGTTTGGATATATCGATCTAATGAAGGGAGAACTCAGGTCTATTTCCTTGGATCAAGAGTCCCCTTACCGGCATCATGAAACCTTTCCCTGAAGGAGGGGAAGAACTGCCTTACATGTTGCCTCTTTAGTTTTAATTTTTCGACCTAATTTATTAGGTTTAAAACACATTAGACAGGGGTCATTGAAGTCGTTGTTCATCTATAAACTAGCATCAAGAACACTTCAATTTATAAAATATAAAGTCGACTCAAGTGTTTATACACATATATACATTACTCATGGTATAATTCATATATGTACCTCTAGGTATATATACCGAGATGTACGATTGTGTATATAACCTAAAACCTACTGCATACACTTATAAGTGAATGTACACTAAGAGATGCACATTTACAAATACATATATACACCTGTGTATATATGGCAAGATATACTAGTGTATATACAAATACATACCTATCAGTATATATCCTAAAATATACAACTACCAGTCCAAAACCTAAGATATACACCACTCAGTATATAAACCCTAAAATATATATCCTTCTCAGCATAGATACTCTGACAAAGTAAAAACACAAAACACTGGTCGAGTGCTTTACCTTCTCCTTGAGTGGAGTGCCAGAGGTTAACCTCACGCTGGTTTTGAAGAGACTGCGGCCCATGAGACCCGTCATCTTGCTTGTATAACCAACCTGCCAACCCCACTCCTAGCGTTGCAATATTGAAAGTGCCGCTTATAATCTCTCAGATATTTACTTAATGTATCCCTTAGTTTTCAGGACGTGGATTATGACCTCTACTCCTGCTATTGCTGCTACACTTGAAGAACTGTCAATGATTAGAGGTGTAATTTATTAACTACTGCTGATTGACGGCAGGTTCTGTGTTGCATGGGAGTGCGTGCGTACACTCTTGCGTGAGAGTCTGCCGTTAATTATATTTTTAATGTTTTTTTTTTGCATAAATTATGACACAGGATTAAGTTATTACTGTGGCAGACGTAACTGTTAAAGAAGAAAGTCTTAGCATATTTTTTTCATATATATATATATATATATATATATATATATATATATATATATATATATATATATATATATAAATATATGTATATATATGCAAAACAACCACTGTGAAAGAATAGAGAAATTCCAAGCGCTTTCGTGACTACTCACATTATCAAGGAACAATTGTTCCTTGATAATGTGAGTAGCCACGAAAGCGCTTGGAATTTCTCTATTCTTTCACAGTGGTTGTTTTGCATATTCTGAAATCACCTGTTTACTGTGATCTTATCGCATATATAACATATAAATATATATATATATATATATATATATATATATATATATATATATATATATATATATATATAATATATATATATATATATATATATATATATATAATATATATGTCGTGCCGAATATGTAAAACTGGTCAATTAGCAAGAACTCATTTAAAATTAAGTCCTTTCTGAAATTTTCTCTTATACGTTTAAAGATATATTTTTTTCATTAATGTTAATGTAAAAATTTTTAACTTTGCACCAAAAGAATCTTAGAAAACTTACCTAACCTTATTATAACAAGAGCAATTTATTTTAGCCTAACCCAACTAAATATATTTTAAATACGATTACAATAATTTAGTAATAAACAAACACAATCAAATATATTTTTTTCGTTAGGTTCAGAATGATTTTGGCGAAATTATTGCATACACAAATTTTCACTTGTCCTATATGGCAAGATGAGCGTTGCTATTTAAGCCAAGATCGCAAGTTCTGCCTATTCGGCACGACATATAATATATATATATATATATATATATATATATATATATATATATATATATATATATATATATATAGTGTGCGTGTGTGTGTGTGTGTGTACTCACCTAATTGTGGTTGCAGGGGTCGAGACTCAGCTCCTGGCCCCGCTTCTTCACTGAATGCTACTAGGTCCTCTCTCTCCCTGCTCCATGAGCTTTATCATACCTCATCTTAAAGCTATGTATGGTTCCTGCCTCCACTACTTCACTTGCTAGGCTATTCCACTTCCTGACTACTCTATAACTGAAAAAATACCTCCTAACATCCCTTTGACTCATCTGAGTCTTCATCTTCCAATTGTGACCACTTGTTTCTGTGTCCTCTTTCTGGAACATTCTGTCTCTGTCCACTTTGTCTACCCCACGCAGTATTTTTGTAAGTTGTAATCATGTCTTCCCTAACCCTCCTGTCCTCCAGTGTCGTCAGGCCGATTTCCCTTAACCTTTCTTCGTAGGACATTTCCCTGAGCTCTGGAACTAGCCTTGTTGCAAACCTTTGCACTTTCTCTAATTTCTTGACGTGCTTGATCAAGTGTGGGTTCCAAACAGGTGCTGCATACTCCAGTATGGGCCTGACGTACACAGTGTACAGTGTCTGGAACGATTCCTTAATAAGGTATCGGAACACTATTCTCAGATTTGCCAGTCGCCCATATGCCGCAGCAGTAATCTGGTTGATGTGTGCCTCCGGAGACGTGTTCGGTGTTATGGTCACCCCAAGATCTTTCTCCTTGAGTGAGGTTTGCAGTCTTTGGCCACCTAGCCTATACTCTGTCTGCGGTCTTCTTTGCCCTTCCCCGATCTTCATGACTTTGCATTTGGCAGGATTAAATTCGAGAAGCCAGTTGCTGGACCAGGTGTCCAGCCTATCCAGGTCTGTCTGTGTGTGTGTGTGTGTGTGTGTGTGTGTGTGTGTGTGTGTGTGTGTGTGTGTGTGAAATTTTTGTAACTATTTGGAAAATAATGGCTGCTATCATCCACAGTGCTATCATTCGCGGCTAGTCATATTCTCTATCCAAGTGCGTTGCGGGCTATAGAACTTTCTAGTTTTTCTACCCAGTTATTCTTTACATTCAGCACTGTCATCTCATCAGTAAATATAAAGAATAATCTTTTGAAGGGTACCTAATCATTGTGATTTTCAAAGGTATAAACTTGCGGACGCCTCTGTACCTTCAACAGTTCGAAAACTTAAAAAATCTCCTTCAGTCAGTTACCATTTTCCTGACACAACGCTTGAGAGAGAGCGTTGATTTACACTAATTTTTTTTCAATAAACTCTTACTGTCCTGCCCACCTTACTCTATATACTCTCCTCTCTGAAAATCCTGTCTTTAATGGATATGCCATATAATGACCATTAAACAAACGAAAAATTAATATACGAAATCCCTCTAATATTTCAACCCTAAACTTTTCGGTAATGGGGTTAATAATAAATTTATCAAATAAATGCCCCTCGATAAACAAAGTCGAGAATAATATATAATGGCTTTAACAACTATGCCACCATAAGTTCCAAATACTACATGTTTGGACATCATTTGAGGATTGGAAAGTGTTGTATTCTTAAATGCAGTCCAAAAAAAAGGCCTGAGCTTGCTACCACCTGCAGCTCACAAGACTGCCATCCCCACGAGCCCCTTTGGGGCGGGGCAGATGGCAGACCAGAGGCCTAGCTTCTCCCTACGAGCACCGTGAGGGCGGGGAATGTGGCTAGGCCTGGGGACAGTTGGTCCCAAAGATGAGGGGGTACTTGTACCTCCTCCCATGGGAGACTTACGTCTCGAGACACTCCCCAGATAGGGAGCCAAGGCCGGGTCACCACTACTTGGAAAAGACCCGGGCCGGGAGAATACCGGCGAATAAAAAAAAAAATGCAGTCGATCCTAACGGGTTTAGCGCTTTTTTTAATAATTAAATGCTGTCACAACCATTATGCTACTATTATTATATCGTGACTGGCTGTTTAAACAAGATGGCTATATTTATAAACAGGAAAATATAAATAAATGTGGGAATATGAAATATCCCTGGTAAACTATACAAATTTAATAGAATCAGGTAACTCGACACAAAAAAAAATAAATATCCTCCCCTTCAATTTGTCCGTCCAGAAGCACAAGGCTATTCTACATTACCATGGCCTTACACTTTTCCTAAGTAATGTCTTCCCACAGCTAAAGTCAGTACATACAAAGGCACCTGAAGTCGGTACCTGACCAGCCGGGCTGTGGTTCTTACTTCAGCTTGCGTGCGGCCAGCAGTAACAGCCTGGTTGATCAAACCCTGATCCACCATGAGGCCTGGTCTCAGACCGGGCCCCGGGGGCGTTGACCCCCGAAACCCTCTCCAGGTAAACAGCGCGAAAAATTTAAAGGTAACCAGAAGAGGTGTGTAAAATTTTGAATTTTCCTAAATTCAGCATGTGTAAATTTGAATAACATAATAACTGCATATTAAAATGGGATGCTATTTGGACCCTTCGAGAAATTTTAAGTGAAGGGATGTGTGGAACAGCCGCAGAGTGAGTGGACGGGGGGGGGGACGCCATAGTGAATCTGAATGAGTGAACACTGGTCTGTTAATTAAGCAATGTAATCAGGCGTCATTGAAGTTTATTTGGTGTATATTGAATTCAATCCGTAATTTAGAAATTGCTGACACATTCCCGCTGAAGAATTGGGATAAATAGTGTGGAAAGTCCTTACAATTCGGCTACAAGGGCTCCGATCCTTCCCAGCAGCACAACTTTGCTAAGTGATGCTTACCCATAACATATAGTAGTTTTACATTGGCCATCGTAAACTCTAGCTATTGGGGTAGCATTAGGGTGTGTTACAAATAAAATTGTGATCCAGTAATTAAACAGTAAATGGTAATACGAATTTCTTTTCTAATAACACTATTATAATTTATGTACAATAATTATATTCTGTGCACCAAGCAAGTTAAATCTTATACAGTTCACATTATTTTATAATTTACCATTATTGGTATTAATGGTTAATGTTGTAATTATTAATTTAATATTAGGTCTATCTTTTTGTGAGAGCAGTGATGAAATGGGCATCAAGGGAGTGACAGTTCTGTGACCTATTCTAAGTCCCACTTATCTCACCCAAATAACTTGCATGTAATAATTCAGGTAATACCCTATAAATCTCATGTAGGTAATTTCTCACATAATAATTCATACGAAGCATTCTCTAATTACTGAACAGAATCCAATAAAATTTGCACCTGTGGAATGAGGAGCATTCAGATTCGATTCAAGGAATGGGAGGATTAGTCCAGTTTCTTGGACCAAGAGTCCCTCACCAGCATCAAATTATACGATGTTAAATATTATTATAACATTTCGAGATTAAAAATGGCGCCTCCACTCTTCATAAACAATGCCAACTTTCTAAGTAGGATACACCAATGCAAACCAATTTCGGGATTGGTCTATATAAAAATGAACAGAGGGCACCTGCACTTATCAATTGCTCCACGAACCTTCAGCTAATAATAGTGCTAGAGCCATTGAATACTGAATCCATTCAAAAGAGGTAGACTCAAATATTTGTAACATGATTTAAAGGAATTTAAAATTTCACACTTTTACACTTATCCACTTGAATTTCACTCTCCTCTATCATAGAATTAGAATCACTTTTTTTTTAAGTTTGATGATACGCCACTAAGGGTTTTGGAAGTTATCAGAGCCATTTCAGGATGCTGAGAATGGAGTCAACAACTTTGATCACAGTGCACGTGCACAAGCCGAATGTTCCTAGAATCTGACCCTAGTTACTCTACACAAGCGTTCAAAATTTGAAGCCGACATTATGACGGTTTCTCGAGTTTGAGCAAAATCAAATA